GAATCTACTGTTGCCGAATTTTTGTTTTTTTCTTTTATCAGATTTTTGGTGTTTGACTGTGTGCATCCTAGTTATGCAAAGGTCAGGTGATACTCCAAATGCTTTGTATCGGCTTGATGCTACATTTTGAGATAATAAAAGCGTCCTTTATCGGAAAAAAATCTAAGTATACTGGCAGGATATCACTTAAATTAGAAAACTCTAACCTTTCTACTTCCTTGTATATGTTCTGCTCACCTGCTGGAACTCGGATCAGCACTCTCTGTACTTATATTCCAATGCAGTGTGGGAATATTGATTAACATGCCATATCTTCATTTTTTTTTGAACTGTTGCATATTGAAAGGCAGAAATATACCTTTTTCAAAAAGACAAAAATACTAAGCACTTTTGTTACTGACGCCAGCTTTTATGACTCCAGGTTTTCGATATTACGATCGTTAAGCCATCTGAATTTGTGCAATATGGATTGGGCTGTTTGGAGCAACTTGCTGATTCAGGGGATCATAGTGCAAGATCAGTTCGCAATAACCTGAGAGTCATGGTAACTTAAACAACTAAACACCATTACATAAGTATTGTGGCATATAACTCATATATTTTTTAGGCTCGAAATTAGGCTCGAAATTTAAGGGGGGCCTTACCTTTTAGGAAGGAGGGAGTATTATACATTTATACCATTCTAATCTAGTATTGAGTTGAAAAGAAGAAATAATCTGACTAAATTATGACAGGAAGTATATTGTTTCACTGTTCCGTGCACTATGACACACAGTAGTCTGCAATACCCTTCTCATTCCCCCAATGATTTCTGAATACTTACGGTGCTTAACGTACCTAGACAGCAGGAGGTGATGGTACAGTAGGTTGGGTACTGGGATGCTTAGGAGAACTATATGTACAGAACCGGGAACCGGTTCCTCCAGTTGCTGTCATACCCCTTGGAACAGGAAACGATCTTTCGAGGAGCTTTGGTTGGGTAAAAGATGTCTTTCTTTTGTTCTTATAGTCTTCTTGTGATACTTACACAAAATTTTCATCACTTAACTGTTATTTTCAGGGTGCTTCATTTCCTTTCTCATGGAAAACAGCCGCTAAACGATCTCTCTACAAGGCTATTTTGGGCACAGTATCATGTTTAGACAGGTTACTCTTGTTTATTTAATAGTGAAGTTTTTAAGATCTTCTACATATTCTGTTTTCTATTTTAGTGCAAATGTGATGCACATGTATTTATTAATTTAATTTCAAGCTAAAGCAATCCTAACCTAATTTAAAGGATAGCTGCCTCCTGGTTGCATGTGCTCATCTTGATAGGCCTGTGCTTAAGCTAGCCACCACCCATAATAAATAAGGATTAAGAGCAACTCCAACCAGGCGACCAAACAGACGTGCAGTTTGTCCGCTTTACGTCCGTTTAGGGTCGGGCAGGCGGACGGGAGCATCCGCTTTTTCATTTGGGTCAGCTGGTGCACCCAACGGGAGGTAGACCCAAATTTGCTCGCGTCCAAAAAACAAAAATGATAAACACGTGGCACAGATAAACATAATAAAAATTTAATTAAACATAAGTGGCCGGTCAACCGCCGACCAAAGTCCACTTAAAACATAATTAAAAATTAACTAAAACCAAAAAAAGTCTGTGCCCGCGCGCTGCACTAGACGTCCGCCTTGCCCTTGTTGTCGCCATCGCCGTCAGTGAGGTCGATGAAGATGGGAGGTGGCCCAGCCCACCCGAACGCCGCTTGGTAGGATGCTAGGGCAGCCTTCTCCGGTGTCTGCTGCGGCGGCGGCATTGCGGATCGTCGGGTGCGCTCCTCCTCCTCCTCCCCAAGGAGCGACGCCTCCTCCTCCTGCTCCTAGTGCATCTGCTGCTGGTCGCCGGCCTCCTCCTCGTTAAGCCAGTGCGCCTTCTAGCGCTCAAGGTGGGCCTCCTCCTCCTCCGACGTCGCGGCGTAGTGGACTGGAGGCGCGATCACCCGCTCGCGGAACCCGCCTGTCCACGTGTAGGACTCCTCCGGCCAAGTGGGAAGAGGCGGCGACCGCTTCCATGTCGGTGGCTCCGGCTCCGCCTTGGGCTCGACGGTGAGCAGCGGCGGTAGTGGCGGGACGAAGAGCGGGGCGTGGACGGAGTGCCCAGCAGCCGACAAGGCGAGGGCGTGCTCTAGCCCATCCCAATGGGCGTCCTGCTCGATCCTGCTCTCTTCCAGCGCGTGCTGCAGGGCTAGCTCGAGGGCGGCTTGGTACGCCGCCTCTTGCTCCTCCTCCTCCGGCAGAACCTCGGGCGGTGGCGGAGGAACGACGTGGTCGACGTGGACGCCCCGACGGTGCTCCTCCTCATGCTCTAGCGCGAACCAGCGCTTTGGCGCGTAGGCATGCATCACCCGTTGATCCGGAGTGAGGCCCTCATGACGCCGGCGAACCTCCTCGGCGTGCGCCCATGCCGAGTGCGGCACTACTGGAATGGCGATCCACTATGGATTCAGATGCCAACCATGCGACAGGTTGACATCCGGATACTGCAATGGCCGGCAGTACTGCCAGTGGCACCGCGCCTGGTGGACTGGTACGTACAGACGGTCCTGATCAGATGGCAAGCCGCGTCTAGTAGGCGGCGGCGACAGTGTAAGCCCGCGGGAAGAGCCCGCACCGGTGCTGTGCTTCCCCTTCCACTTCCCCTTGAAAACCCCATGGTGGCCAGGGTTTGGGCTTGCTAGGGTTTCTGGTCATCGGCGAGGGAGCACTGTGTGGCCAGAAGTGGACAGGTGTTGGAATTGGATGTGGCCGGCCCCACCGCACGCTTCCATTAAAAAGGATGGGCACGCGGACCTTCCACCCATTGCCAGGTGGGTCCCGAGATATGTGTTGACATTTAATAAGACGCGAGCGGTGGTTGAGCGGCCGACTAGTGGGCCCGTGGCAGACACGGAAGGGATGCGGGGCGCGTCCGTTTCGTGTCCGCGAGGACGCAAATCCTGCCCAAATTTGTGCCTGAAATAGGTCGGCGCGGAAACGAAGTGGACATGATTTGGATTTGGGTCTATGCATTGGGCCACCGGTTTTGTCCGCGGCGACCCAAAAGGACATGGGCGGACGAAGGTCGCCCGGTTGGAGTTGCTCTAACATTCTCCTTGAAATGTATGGTCTCTCTTTCCAAATGTGTGGGTTTCATACATGAATACGATCTCCGGTACACAGGTTACCATCACATTTTCGTACCTATAATTAGCCGAAGTAATAAAAATATATAGCTTCTTTAAGTAGTTTTCACCATAAATCTACTAATCTCACATGAAAAAACGAAGTTGCAAAGTTGTGATTGCATCCATTCCTAAATGACATCTATTTGGGAAATGAGGTAGTTAATTACTGTCTGTGGGGCGAATTGGATTACACCAGTTGTGATACATTCTAAGTGATTAATGTTGGGTTTACTCCACAATTAATCCAAACAGTCTTCGTGGAAGTTCCCATGTTAGTAAGATTCTGGTGATTTGTCAAATATGTATTATGATGGCAACTGCGGCTGTGGATAATACACATTGGCTTTGGCCAAACCCTAAACCCTAGCATGCAGTGATTGAAATGCCATATAATAATAGCTATCATGAAAGATTCCGTGTGTTACCTCTGTAAATTTTTATAAGATGTTTTTAGATTCTATGAAAGTGTCAAAAAATGTCTCATATTAAGTTACAGAGGGAGTACTTATTAATGCCTTAACGGTTTGCTTTATGCGATAGCTTATTGCAGAACTTGCTACATGACGTTTCCTTCTTTAGTAGGTATGGTATGTACTTCCAGAGTTGATCACTTCCAATTTCTTAGTAGCATAGTTGCCTTGTGCAGTTGGCACATCGTCGTTTCTATGCCAGAAGAAGGAGAAAAAGAACAAGAACTGAATCTTCCTCACTCCCTTAGGCACCTCGGAGAGTGTACATTTTATGATGTACTGCTTATAGACTATCTTCTACCAATGATTCATGAGTTCAATGATGTTTATTTTCCCACACTCTGATCCACATGAATGCAATAATATGTCCTGCAGGATGGCACTGCTGAGGGAGAGTTGCCTGAGACAGTTTGTTGCTTTGACGGCGTGTTCTACAATTACTTCAGCTTAGGTACTTCCTTTATTCACTTGACAACTTCTAGCTGCATTGCTTGTAATTTTCTTCATTATTTCAGAATGTATCTCCTAGTATCCCCTAATTTGTTTTAGATCATGCTCTTATTTGGAGTAATCTTGGTTATATATCTATCTTTTTCTCAAGAAAAAGAAAAAGCCTTGAGTTTCCTTACGGTTGTCTGTATGAAGTGACACAAATTTATTTATTTTTGCGTGAAAACTTCCAATCTATTCATCTCCAATCATGGCAGTAGAACGAACACCAGAAATACAAATTACATCCAGATCCGTAGACCACCTAGCGACGACTATAAGCACTGAAGCGAGCCGAAATCGCGCCGCCGTCATCGCCCCTCCATCGTCGGAGTCGGGAGTGGCACACCCCTATCTCCTAAGCAAAGGGGCCTGCACTCCTTGAACCAGTTGATGTGGCAATGGCCGCACTGTGCAACCACCCTGCCTAGCCAAACGAAGCCTCTCGGGATTTTGTCAACATGTCTCTTCGTCTTCTTGTTCAAGCCGAGGACACCATCTAGTGCAAAGGCATGGTAGCCAGAACCGACATGACCAAAGTGAGACGTCTCCCTTTAGGCATCATGGAGGCCCTTCACGTGGGAAGGTAGTCGGCAATCCTGTCAACCAAGTGTTGGAGCGCCTCGCTCGACAACCTCCTTAACACGCGGGGATTCCGTTGTGCTTGATCAAGCTGGTACTCATAACCCGCGAGATCACTAATTCAAAGGGTACTCCTTGCAAAGTTCACTCCCATCTTCTCAGTCCCTGACAAGTGATGCATTGTATGTGCATCACTTGTCTCAACATGAGAGTTCTTCCTTTTTTTGTAGATTCATTTATTCAAAATATTTCATCTCTTAAATCATGTGTCCACATCACAAACTGTTTTTACTATTGGATTTCTCGCTTTGGGAAATTCGAAGCTAGATCCCATGTAATAGGTTTTGGCGAACTTTTTTTCACGAAAAAACAGAAAAAACAAAACTAAGCCGAAAGCACGTTTTTTTCTTCACTTTTCCCCTTTCATGTCATACTTATTGCTGGAGCAAATTTTTGCCTCCACGAGAAGCACAGTGAAAGCAAAAAAAAAACCTGTTTTTTCCTTACCGAGAGGCACATGTGTGCTTCTCGTGGAAGAAAATCTGTGCATTCAGGAGAAGCAAATATGTACCTCTCACAAAAGCTAAAGAACAACTTTTATTCTTTCCGAGAGGCAAAGTTGTGCTTCTCACAGAAGCAAATCTTTGCCTCCACGCGAGGAAAATATGTGCCTCTCGTGGAAGCACAATTTTTCTCACGCAAAAGGAAATTCATTTTTTTTTCTACAAAACATAGGGAAAACTGGCGAAGCCCCAAAAGCCGATGCTGCCCTAGGGCATTGTTAGGGCCCTTGCCTAACCAGTCCACCTACAAGGGCTTGTTGCTGGGCCAACACATGGGTCGGGTTGGAAGCTACAAATACATGGGAGGAGACCACGAGCTAGTCATCCAGAGGATCACAGCTTCAGCGGTGACTACTCTTCTCTTACCTATGGCTCTCTTCCCTAATCCCCTTCATGTGCCTTGTACCTCAGTTAGCTACATCTCCTGTGTAATCCAATATCGCTGGTTGATTATCAAGTGGGTTGCTAACATGCATCCTCGCCCGATCAACCAATGGGGGACACTATGTCACTTGGCAAAGTTCGTGGGCAATCTTGATGCATGCATGAAGAATGTGGGTAAGCAGCGAATGACAAGGAACTCCTCCCTATCCAGGTGGTAGAAGAAGACAATGTCATCTGGGTAAGGTGAGACATTCATCATAAAGATCGTGAGGTGCTAGGCGATGGAGCTACTCAAATACCTTGGCCTTGTCGTGTAACATATTGAGAGTTCCAATCATCAATATAAATAACATCAGGGAAAGCGGGTCACCATGTCTTGGACCCTTTTTGTGCCAAGCCGCCGGAGCTGGCTCGCCATTGAGCATCACCCTCATGCTACTCGAGGACAGGATGATGGCAATCCACTCGCGAGTTATATTCTTTAGTGTATGCTTTTAGATGAAACAATCATATTTGCTAAAACAAACATGTTTGATATCAAACTTCCTATATTCATTCATATGTTTTCACAATTCTGTTGCAAACCACTCTAAGTTTGAGAAAACTTCTTGGCCCAGTGTCTTCTAAAATAGTAAGAGCATATATATTTATATTGTTCTTAGGTGATACATTTGTACGTATTTATGTTATTTAACCATAGATGAAAGTAATAACACAATTTTTAGTACTATCCTTGAAATAATGAGATGAATAATCTTCTTGAGTTATACGTATGTGGGGATTGTTTTGTTGTTACCATTTTTTTTGTATCTAATTTGTCTATTGCGTCGGAATCTTTCGAAACGAAACATGCTTTCACTATGCACTTTATCTGAAAACGCAGGGATGGATGCTCAAGTGGCTTATGGATTTCATCAACTACGTGGTGACAAGCCATTCCTTGCTAGTGGTCCTTTATCTAATAAGGTATGCAACTTAGTGAAACCCTTACCTTCACTAATGGGAATTCCATAGCTCCTCGGCATAAACTCTCTAATATAATATTGCATGTTCAAGTTTTATGTCCTTTTAGGTTCTATACACGTAATGTTGACTTGGAGTAGGATAATTATTATTGTCTACACACTACAAGACCCCTTCGAAATAGATGTCGTAGTTGAAGATTTTACCATTAAGGACGCAACCTACTTTGTGAGGGGGGGGGGAGCGGAAACATGTGATATCCAATATTGGCAACATTGTTTTCTATCTCCAACCAAAGATTCTAATCAATATCTTCATGAAGAAATATAACAAATGTAACTTGCAAGGCACATACTGAAAAACAATAATATGATCCTGCACACTCGAGTGCATGAAGGAAGCATCAACATCAATATGATTCATGAGCTCATGCTTCATAGGGTCCCACACAATACTGATAGCAACTGTACTGTCAGACAAGAACGTAGTTGTAGTGACAGAAACAACAAAATCACAAGCAGCCATCATAGAAGAGCCATAGCTCACAACTCAGCCTTTGAACCTGAATAAGAAACTTTAGTATGTTCCTTCGTCTTCCGGGCAATGAGGGAACCAAGAAAAACACAGTTAGTAGGAAGGGACAAGCGATCTGAATGATTGCTATCCCAAGTAGCATGCGAATAGGCCTGAAACTGAAACAAACTGAAGCATGGAAAGAAGAGACACCGAGAGATAGTCCCACGATGATATCATAGAAAACAGAAGAGGTGACAGTAGTGCACCAAAGTGGTAGCATAAATGAATCGAGTCAGAATGTAAATGAGATAGGGAAGGTTCGGATGAGTGACAACTAGATAGACAAGACTCCCAACAAGATGACGGTGGAGCATCGAATCATACAAACACTGATCATCGGAAGCACAGACATGGACGTCATGCTCCATCGGAGTCTCAACAGTGTGTTGTGTGCTCGTTAGTAAGGGCAACACGAGCAAGAAGATCATGGATATAATTCTCTTGGGAAATAAGGAAGCTGTTGGAGGTAGAAGAAACATCAACCCCAAGAAAGTAGCTAATGGGACCAAGATCAGACAAAAGAAAATGCTCACTAAGACATGCCTTCACAAAGGCAATGCACTCAGAGTCGCCGCCAATGATGATCATGGCATCGACATATAGAGAAAGAGTTTGACCATGACTTTAAAGGTGGAAAAAAAGTGCAGGATCCTGAGCACTCTCAAAAAATCAGCCGCAATCACCATTGAGGCGAAATCCTCAAACCAAGCACGAGGACTTACTTAAGGCCACATAGAGAGAAGCGAAGATGACATGTCATGCCACCAGGAATAGAATACCCAAATGATGGCTGCTTGTAGACCTCGTCACCTATCTCACCATTAAGAAATGCATTCTTCACATCAAGCTAAGAGACGACCAATGAGAAACATAAGTCATAATGAGAAGTGTGCGAACTGTGATCATGTAGGCCACATGAGAAAATGTCTCATTGTATTCACGACCATGATTTTTCTCACAAACCACAATGCGAGCTTTGTAGCGCTCAAGAGAACCATCGAAGCGAGTCTTAACCCTGTACACCCACTTACATGCGATGGGACAAACACACAACAGGAGACGAGATCCCCAATAACATCAATCTCCTCTGGCATCACATGCTACAATTCGGGGAGAACAACAATGTCACAATACACTCAAGAAGATTTGTGCTAGAAAAGCCACAACGAGCAATAGGTGGAAGCGGGCAAGCGAAGAAAACATAAGTAGGTTGAGCTAGAGGCGGTGCGTTCTATTAGAAAGATACATAGGAGTCGAGGGAGATGGATCATTAGAAGAAGATGACACATTGGAAGAACCCACAAGACGTGGATGACGAACTTAGTAAATAAGAGGACGAGGAATCACTAGGGAAGCCTTAAGGGACTTTAGAGACGAGGGAGCCTCAAGTGACGAACGAGGTGGGGAAGCTACAGGTGAATATGGCATGGGGTGTGACGACCCAGGAGAGGCCCTAACCGTACCTAGCACCTGGGCTAACATCTTCATAGTATAGACCCCAAGACGGCCACCAAAGCACATTGTACATGTGGCTACATGCACACTATGTGGGTGGAACGGTCATCACAACACAATTGTTCAACAGGTCTGCAACAATATATACAATGACTACAACGAGTCAAAATTTAACAAATGCAAATGGAGTCATCCTTCACCAAAGATATCCCAAGGCACTCACATGGCGTCTATGGTCTGATTTGCAGCATGGGAATGCAAATAAAATTATCCTTCACCAGAGAGATCCCAATGTTGTGATTTTAGCAAATGCCTTAAGAAGGCTAAAGAAAAGCAAATGACTTCCATATCCCTGCCATCCCACTATATGAGGAATAACCATAGCTAATGTTGTCCTTCACCAAAGGGACTACCTTCTCCAATTGTTGCTATTTTATTTGCAACATCCGAATCAAAAGAATTAATATAGCAATGTAAGTACCAAACTATACCCGCATGACTTACATCAGATCTATACTAAGTATGTAACATTCTCAAGGAAATGGTTATATGTGGTTTGAGCGAAAAAAACACTAGAAATCTGTAGAGACAGGCTACAACTTGCATTTGTCGCTGATAAGGTAAGAGAGCGCAATAACACACAAGGAAGCAATCCCAAGCCTCTCACATGGTTGGTAAGTTTTATTTATTATTAGTTGAAGGTTCTCTATATTACTAACAAGGTTTATTGATAATTAGGTTTAAGATGTTCTATGATCTCAGACGAAATCTCCAAGTTGTTCGTAACCATGGACATGACTATTCAAATAGATTTAGTCATGCAAGGATGTACCACTGTACCCTAACATGTGGCAAACGCTCCTGGTGCATGTACAAATAGCACAAACGGGTTAGGCCAGCAGAGTGAGATAGGCCACAAACACATCCCACACAAACACACACACACACACACATCAAGCAAGTCCAAGAAGCTACTCAACTAAGTCATACGATGATCGAGTCTAGCCATAGCTCCTACTCATACCCAACAATTGTGTGTGAAGTCCAAGATGGCTACAACCTTTACCAAGATAACCACTTGGTCCAGCCACATTTCTATATTTATGAAAACATCAGGTGTAACTCGCCCAATGAGAAACTTACCACAAATGAAGATGATTCATGCAACTATGTGTGTGCCAAGTGGAAATCCTGAACTATGTGGCCCCTAGGACAGGTCGAAGGATTAGTTACTAGGTCATGGGAGTGGCTCATTTACTCCCCAACCAGAGGTTCAGTATGCTCAGCCATGGATCATGATAACAAGAACTCCTGTCCTAGTGTTGGCTCAATTGGAACAAAACATCATGCGCTCAAACATGGCTCCCACCATTGGCTTTCTTACAAATTAACATAATTATCCACAGCATAACATAAATGTATCAGAGTCTGGTTCAAGTACCCATATGCAGCATAAAGTAGATATGCCATGACTCAAACATAAATCCTAAGCATGCATACTACAACAATCAGGGCCAAACATGACAATACCACGAGCAAATAACTAGGCATGCTAGGAATGTTAGGTAAAGGCGATATCATGGAGACAATAAACATGGGATGCAGAGGATAGGTATCGAAAGACAACTATAACATCATTATTGTAATGCAAGAGGGAAGGAGAAGCATAGGATGTGTCAGAATGGACAAGGAGGTTTTTCTTGCCTGGAATCCACGCTTGTTTCATTCTCAAAGCCTTCTCACTGCTCACATCATCTTTGGATACGAATCGAGAAGAAACAGAAACACTGGAAAACCGCAAAAGATGCATTTTACTACTATGGCAGAAGTTTCGGCATGCTCGTGATATGCAATGCATTACACGGCAAGAATGATGTTGAAATGATCCAATGAGATCAGCAAATAAGTTGAATGAAGTTTGAATTGCAACTAAGATGCAATCCAAAGACTCCATATTTAAAGTATAGGCTTTGGTCTTGTGTAGCTACTCAAACAAATTTAAATGTTTTTAACATAGATGATCATGGCATAAGGTGATGAAGTATATAAGCTAAGACTAAACTAAGCAAGTTAAATGGGAAGGAAAGATTGTATAAGACATTTCAAAAATCTACATATTAAAAGAAAGGGGTTAATTATGGTTTAATCCTAAATTCCATTTTAATTGATGCAAAAATGCTTAAAAGTGACATATCTAGCAGCTATTTAATATGAATTATGCAATTTAAATAATTCATTAATGTTATATAAATGAATGCACAATGCCAAAATGCTCAAACATGAATGCAAATGGAATATAGAAGAACTACACATTTTTCTAATCGGAGTATAAATATTGTTTGTATTATTATGTTTTAAAAAGAATTAAATATGACTTTAGAAGTTTAAGCATTTTATAGAATTTCCTATTTAAAATAAGTCAAATAGGAAGTCCCAGGAAAGTTTTGCGCTGAGGTAGAGCCAACCACAGTGACTGACGGGTGGGACCATGGGTCTGACTTTTTTGGTGATGTGGCCGTGAGTGATGCAGGTTTTTCTTGTGCATTGTGTGCTATTTGTTGAAATGTATATGTAGATTATCTAGTTCTTTTCATGAGTTTGGACTTTCAGTTGGATTGGCTAATGCATAAAGCTTATTATTGTTTCGCGGTCTAAGGATTTGAAATCAAGACCTTAGACCTTGATAGCACTAGCCACGGTGGTTAACCGGTCGAGCACCTGCCAGGTCACGGATTAAGTCAGAAAAGAGAGGCTTTTGCCTGGATGGAGAATGGAACCAAGGATCGCTCATTTGTGGTGCGCTGCACTGGCTAGATGGTCTTTTGTTTTTTTATTCAGAGAACATGCAAAGTCCGAAGAAATAAAAGAGGCGCCTTAGACCAACTCCACCGCACGACCTCAAACAGACGTCCGTTTGCCCGGATTCTGTCCATTTGGGTAGGGCAATGGGGCCGTGTCCGGGCCATTTTTCG